TGCCACGAGGAGCCGGATTCAACAAACATTGAATATGCCAAAATCACCCTCTGGTGTCCTCCTCAGGGACAGTTGGTCCTTCGTGACCAATACATACGCTGCAACGCCACACAGTTCGCACGAAGATCGCACTCCAGCGTGTCATAAAATTCGCGAAGCGACCCCTTCATGGATTCTGAAATGCTATGATCAAGTACTTCCATTGGGACGGCGACCGCAATCGGCGCCCGGGTGCGGGCAGCGCCTGACTGCACGAACAAGGCTCGACCCCCGCATCCAGGTGCCACCTCGAAAGAATGTCGCGGGCTCCTCCGGCACGGCGCACAGTTGAGGAGCAGTTCGTAACGCTCCCGCCGGCTCGCCGTTTGTGTGGCTTGAAACGGATTCTCCAATGCAATGCCTTGAACATGATGAACAGCGAGCGCTTGGATATGCACAAACTCCAGAGCAAGCGTGACACCTTCCGTGAGCGACAACTTGAATGGGCAGTTGATCTCGCACGTAGGGAGCTACAGGCAACTGCATGCTGGCCGGGCAGCGGTTGCAGCTGCTGATCCAGATTGCGTTTTTGATCACGCGTGTGATCCGTGTCCAGAGCCTGCGACGCTGCGCCCTGTGGTTCAGCAAGAGAGATCTCGTAGCAGAGATCGCAGCCCCGACTCCTCAGAGTCTGACGGGACACTGTCGTGCGACGGAAACGACACGCCTACGAACAACATAAACTATGTCTTTGAGAAGGCCGACCGTGCTCCCGAGCTTACGCTGTCCACCGACAAAAACAGAAAGAGGCCTCCTCCGAACGCAGCCGGGACATCAAAGAAAGCAGCGAAACGCGCAGAGAAGAAAAGAGAGAAGAAGACGACTCCAGCAACGACTGGTTGCTTAGCTAGCCTATGGCCACTTTTAGAAGAAAAAAAGGTTGAGGTCGTGAAGCGACTTCGTTCCTCTTCTCATCGTGTCTGTCCATCCTTTCTGCCCCTCCTTTCTGTCTTCTCTCTTCGTCCTTCCTCCTGTTGTGCACTGTTGCTGACCGCTGCCGTTTAGGGCCCTTGAGCGGCTCCGAGCGGGATAAGGGACCGCGACCTTCGCGAGCCCTGGTGGGCATCTCCGCCTAGCTCTCGCGCCTGATGGCTTTCGTGGCACTAGAGGCCCCAAAGAGGCCCCCAAGGGGCTCCCCGGAGCCCCACAACGACTGAACTGTACGTTGTCTGTACGTGCACCTCGCAAAGCGAAAGGAATCCACGTCCGGACTGCAGCGAAGCGTCTCGGCAGTCCGAAAGGATCAGTGTGCGACGCACGGGCTAAGTCACGATGCCTCGGGGAAGCCGATCTGCCATACGTTGTCAAATCATCCTTTGCAACGCAAGCCCCCTGAATCGCCCCCAAGGCCCCCGTCGAGTCGTCGGCCCACGCCGACCACTTCACAATCTCACCTACATGCCCGCCACAATTAACTGAACATCATTGATGTTGGCCTCTTGGGCTTCTAGAGGTTCCAGAGGGGCATCAAGCCCGCTCAAGATGGCTTCAAGACGGTTCAAGACGGCCTCAAATGGCCTCAAGAGGGCCCAAGAGGTCCCCAAGATGGCCCCAAAAGGCCCCAAAGGGAACCCCCAAAGACCGCCTCCAGATGCCAAACACATGTTTCTTCTTTATGCGACTTCTGTTATTTTGTTTCTCGTGGGCCGATGACGGCCCAAGCAGCATCCAAGATATCCCCCCCGTGCGGCCCAAGAGGGCCCCATGTCCACGAGGTCCTCAACACTGTCCAGGGCGACCCAAAGAGAGCCCCAAGGCGGCCCCGGCAGGCCCTCAAGACGGCTTCCGAAGGGGCCAGACGGCGCAAGAGCGCCCTAGTATTGCTCAAGACGCCCGCAAGAGGCCTCCAAGAGGCCCCGTAGAGGCCCCAAGAAGCCTCCAAGTCAAGAGGCACCCAAGAGGCTCCGAGGAATCTCCACAACGACTAGACTGTATGTGGTCTGGACGTGCACCCCGCAAAGCGACAGGAATCTGCCAAAAACCATGTTTGTATGATTTGAAGTTCTCGCCTTTTCGCTTCCAATGTGCTCCTGAGGCATCCAAATGGTTACATAATCGCCCAACTCCGAGATAAAGAAACCTCCGAAACTCCCCGAAAGCCTCCCATAACAGCGCCAAGGGTGCTCCGGGACGCCCAAGATGACCACAAAGTATCACAAAAAAGCTCCGCGACGCCCCAAGAAAGCTCCGAAGAGGGCCCCAAGACGGCAATGTGGCCCCTAAAATGTTCCGAGACACCCCGAAAGGCCCCACCGAGCCCAAGCGAGCACCAAAACGGCCCCAACAGAGCCCCAAAACACAGAAGCATCGCGGACGCGCTCGGATTATCAACACTCCTCCTTCTCATCCTCCGTCCTCCTTCTCTTCCTTCTCCTCTATAATCACATGTCTCCTCACCAGTCTCCTCCGCCAGTAGAGCGGCGCGGACGGCAGGAATCGATCAACGTTCTTCTCATCCAACTCACTCCATACCTGCGCCCTCACGAATTGCGAAACTTGCGTGCTCGATTCCCCGCCGTGGCTCCAACTCTGCGGGCTCACTGCGGCGGGTCTGGCGTGCGAGCGGTAACTCGGATCCGTTGGCAGTGTTGGTCAAACAGAACTTGCAGGGAAGACGACGGGAAACTTGCAACATTGGCCATGAAAAACAGAACGTGGGCGAGTGCATTCCTACTAGCAGTTCAATTACCTCAGCCAACCTGCTGACGGTTGGCCCCGAGTGGTACTAGTAGTTCGTCGAACCCAAGGCGGCGCCAAAACGGATCAGGATAGCCCACGAAGGGCTACGATGCGTCCAAAAGCGCCGCCACGACCAAAAGGGCCCAGAAGAGGACCATACGGACAAGACGTCCAAAAGCAATCCAAGGGGGCGAGACGACGCGCCCAGACGCCCAAAACAGGCCAACAAATGTGCTGCCAGAGTGCCCATGCCAATATGCCCAAAGGCCCCAAGAGGCCCCAGCAAATGCCTCAGAGTGCCCAAAAGAGCCCCAACAAAGCCCCAACGCGACAACCCGAGAGCCCCAAGACAACCGCAAACCCAAACCATGCCCTCGAATACCCGCTAATTCCGACATCCGCATGCTGGTGTCCCCGTGGGGGCCCGCCGTGACTCCTGCTCTGCGGGCTCAATACAGCGGCTCCCAGCGGGAGCAGGGCGGCTTCTGCCGTATTACTCAAGTGCTGGGGCTGCAACATTGCAATGGAAGAGAAAGAGAGAGCGAGAGAGAGAGAGAGAGAGAGAGCGAGAGAGAGAGAGAGAGAGCGAGCTGGTTGGCTAGTGGATGGGGTTCCACGGGTTCCAAGCGGATGGTGCTAGTACCGCGGATGGTAACGCAGGGATCCTCGACCTCCCATCAAGTAAGTATCCCCAAGATGCCCCGAGGTGGCCCCAAGTTGACTCCAATATCGCACATGTCGGCCCCCAACGATCGCCCTAACCAGGGCCAATGAGCCCCGTAAGAACACCAAGAAGGCCTAACAGGGCCACAAAACACTCTAACAGGTGCCCACGATGTCCTAAGGTCCCAAGGTCGCCCAAGACGCTACCAGAGGGCCCTCAAGGCACGCCAATATGGCCCCAACACATGCCAAGAACGCCCGAAGAAGCCCAACTACATGCCCCAGATGATACCAGCAACAACACACATCCAAGCCATACCTTTGAACACTTGCTGATAGCGTACTTTGCGTGCCATCTTCCCAATGGGAGCCGCCGTGGCTCCCGCTCTGAAAGTTCAAGCGTGCATCTGGAAGGGACCATACTACCATCTGCGCATTCCTGCGAATCACCAGAAAAAATATGGTACAAGTCGCACCGTGAACTATCCAGAAAGCACGTAACGGCTGCCCGTGGCGCAAGCAAGATTACATCTTGCACTTACCGCAGCATCTGAACATCTTACACGGCAAGCTAAAGCATGCTGCAACAAAGTGGTGCCCCCCCCTTCCCACTCCATTGAATTCAAGACATCGGTCTTTTCACTGCTGCTGGCAAGACCTGTCGGCATCGCTGGTCTTTCCGTAGTTGCCACGTGCGGAAAACCCATTCTGTCCACCAACACCACCTGACGTAGACACTGGACGACCGGTACTCCTTGACAATGGTGGTAAAGGTTGGCCCAGCTGCGTTGCTGCTGAGATGTGGGCTGAAACGCCAGTCTGCTCTCTGCCAGCGGCACAAGTTACGTCGCTTCGAAGCTCCTTCGCTCCAGGGTTATCGATGTGCTGCTGCTTCGACTTTTCGTGGTCCTTGGCAATTGCAAGCTCTCTTTTCAATTCATGCTCCTTGGCCTTCCACCTTTTTGTGTCCTCTTCCGCATTCGACGCTTGCTCTGCGAGCTGCTCCCTCACTTCGTGTGTCGTGGCCGCCACCTTTGGTTGCATTTCATCAATATCTCGGGTTGGCCCAGCCGTTTCTTCTTTCACCCGCGATAGCGACTCTGCTCGTTCCTCCAACATTTTCTCGATGACTTCGCGCCTCGTAGACTCCATCCCTGCTGCTTCAGAACGTCGGCTTCCTGTATAAATTCGGCTACCTGCCTGATTTAGCATTGACTGCTCGTGCTTGTCCAGCTCTTGCGAACGACGTTGCTGCACCGATGCTTGGGCGGCAATCGACGCGTGCCTTGAATCTGCTTCAGAACTTCGATTGCGCAACTGCTGCAACCTTTCTTGTTGTCGTGCCAAAGACCTGAGAAGGGTTTCGTACTCAACAGTCGCTGGTACGTACGAATTCTTCCCTTTCCGTGCAAATGTTCGAGCCTGGCATTCCTGTGACTCGTCTGCACATTCCACTGCATCGCCCGCACATTTCGAGCTTTTGCAACGCATCGTCGGCAAGACTTGGGACAACTGGTGTCGTTTGCGAACAAGTTCAAGACGGCTCTCCTCCTCCTCAATCGACTTCTTCTGCACTGCTTCTTGTAAACCAGCTATTGTTGAAGCACGGCACTGGTCACCTTGGCCAGCACGGGCAATCGCACAACATACATATCAAACGCCTGTGGGGCAAATTCCGTTGAAGGAAATTAGCTGTCTGGACAACGACGTCTTGGCAAACCCAGGAACACACATACGAACACCGAGACAAGGGAGCCCCCGTTGTCAAACTTTTCAGGTCACCGCGATACCGGGATCGTTCCTTCCGGGCTACCAAATTCGATTATGCCAGTCGCTGCCTGCTTGCATCCCCAATGCCATTGCTGATAGGGTGGTGGACATGATGAGACCTCCATGGAACCCACATGATTACTGTGTGGCGAGGAAGCAATGCAGCTGCCGCTGGCACCCTAACATCCAACAGCGTCAACAATCAATGTCCTCGAGTGAAACGCTAACGAACCAGCTGACCTTCACACAAATAATTCCCAACCGTCCTGTGGTGTTTGGTCCTCGCTTTGAAGAGACAGCGCCCCGCGTTCTCCTCTCGTCTCCTCCTTCTCCTCCTCCTCCCATACCTGCCTATATTCTTCGCATGTCAGCACCGTCCTCCTCCTCCTCCTCTTCTCCCTCATCATCATCAGCAACAATATCGGAACCACCACCAGGAGAATGACCATGACCATCACCATCAAAATCACCAGCACTATCACCATCACCATCACCATCACCATCATCAGCATCAACATCATCACCATCGTCGTCATCAGCATCAGCATCATCATCATGATCATCATCATCATCATCATCATCACCATCATCAACGACATCATCCTCACCATCACGATCACCACCACCATAATCAAAATCATCATCATCACCATCATCATCACCACCATCGTCGTCATCAACATCACCATCACCATCACCATCACCATCACCATCACAACCACCATCATCACCGTCATCATCATTACCACCTCCATCACTATCATCACCATCATCAACACGACCACCACCATCATCATCATCATTACCATTACCATCACCATCACTATCACCATCACCCTCACCATCATACTCATAATCATAATCATCATCATCATCACGATCACCACCATCATATCATATCATCATCATCACCATCATCAAACTCGTCATCGTCAACATCATCATCAACATCACCATCGCCGTTAACTTCGCCAACCGCTTCGGCACACCCGTCATACTTTCCGTGGCCCCATAGGGAGCTACACCGAGGGTCCCAAGTGCGTCGGCCGCATGCGTCCGACACACACCTATTTCGGCACACCCCTCGTGATGATCGTGGCCCCATAGAGAGCTCCTCCGAACGTCCCAGGGGCGCCTCCCGCATGCGTCCGACCAGCTCATTTCGGCACACCCCTCACGAGGATCGTGGTCCCCTACACCGAATGCTCCAATGGCACAGGCCGCATGCGCCCGAACCACGCATGTCTGCACAACTCTTACAAGGACCTTGGCCCAATGGGGACGTCCACCAAAGGTCCTAGGGGCGTCGGCCGCATGCGTCCGAGGACCGTGTTCGCATAAAGAACTCCGCCGAACATCACAATGGCCTCAGCCGCATGCGTCGGGCCCACCCATTTCGGCACACCCCTCACGAGGACCGTGGCCCCATAGGGAGCTCCGCCGACGGTCCCAAGGGTGCGCCCGCATGCGTCCGACCCGCCCATTTGGGCACACCCCTCACGAGGATCGCGGCCCGATAGGGAGCTCCACCAAAGGTCACAAGGGCACCGCCCGCACGCGTCCGACGCATCCATTTCGGCACGCCCCTCACGAGGACCGCGGCCCCTTATGGGGGCTCCACCGAAAATCTAAAGGGCGCCGCCCGCATGCGTCTGACCAGCCCATTTCGGTACACCCTTCACAAAGATCGTGGGCTCATATGGGGCGCCGCATGCGTCCGACCCACTCATTTCGACACACCCTCACTCGTTTCGCGGCCTCATGAGGAGCTCCGCCGAAGATCACTAAGGCCGTCCTCGCGCGCGCCTCCCCCGCCCATTTCGTCACACGTTTTGCACTCTTCGGTGCCCCATAAGGAGCCCCACCGACGGTCATGACGGCCACCATCGCATGCGCCTTCCCCACAACCCGCATGCGGTACCCGCCCCATGTTGGCACACCCCTCACGCGGCTCGCCCGTCTCACGCGGTTCGCGGCCCCATCTGGAGGTCCACCTCGATCGTCCCGAATGAAATGCGGTACTGGCAACTGTATATGGTTGGGTCCTTCGCCAGGAAGGCGAGGCGCTGACGAACAAGCAGAACATAAACCAACAGCTGAAGTGATCTGGACGGTGGAGGCGAACGAGAGATGGAACACGACTAATGCGTACAACACCGAACGCGTTCTACACTGAGATCGACGGCTTCAGGATACCACGAGGCATAACCACCTTAGCGAAGGCCAGTTGCGCATCAAACAACCACGGATCGATATACATTGCATATGCTAAGCACGAAGGAATCGCAAAGCATTGTCAATAACCATCCGAAGGCCACTGCTTGGAGTTACAAGGGCCAACACCTATTTGAAACATGTGCCCACTTGCAACTGACGACGAACCATCAGAACCCGAAACCACACATGGTCATGTCGACCACCATGCCCTGATGGACGAATTGGGTCAGGTCCCTTCGAGTTCCGTGCATTGACTGCTGTAGATATTATTTAAAGGGCCGAGGGTCCACAGACCCAGATCTCTTGGGCGCTTCTGGGCGCTCTTCGGGTTGGTCGGGTGACTGTTTGGGAAGCCAGAGGGCGCCACGACGGGCCAATGGGGGCCTCAGAAGGCTCCCCCCCCGACGGCCCAATGTGGCCCCGAGTCGTCCCACGATCGCTCAAAGACGCCCAAGATGGCCCACAAGCGGCCCACAAAGCCTCCAATACTCTTCAAGAGGACTCCAAGAGGCCACCGAAGAGGGCCCCAAGATACCCGAACTCTTGGTTACACAACAGTTCTCCCCAACCACCCAGTGGTGTTGAATCATCCCTCCTCCTCTCCTCCTCCTCCTCCTCCTCCTCCTCCTCCTCCTCCTCCCCATTCCTCCTATCATGCCTTGCCTCTGCTCTCCGCCTGTCCACCTTTTCTGTACACCCCTCACGATAATCGTTGTCCCATAGGGAGCTCCACCGCCTGTGCCGCATGCGCCCGACGCGCCCATTTTGGCACACCCCTCACAAAGTTAGTTGCCCAATAGGGAGCTCCACCGACTGCCCCAACGGCACAAGCCGAATTCGCCCGACGCCCATTTTGGCACACCTCTCACACGGTTCGGGGCCCCAGATGGAGCTCCACCGAAAGCCCCAATGGCACAGGCCGCATGCGCTCGAAACCCATTTTGGCAGACCCCTCACACGGTTCGTGGCCACAGAAGGGACTCCACCGAAAGCCCCAGTGGCACAGGACGCATGCGCCCGACGCCAATTTTGGCACACCCCTCACACGGCTCGTGGCGTCATAGGGAACTCCACCGAAGGCACCGTTGGCACAGACCGCATGCGCCCACCGCACCCATTTTGGCACACCCCTCACACGGTTCCTGGCCCATAGGGAGCTCCACCGAAGGCCCCAGTGGCACAGGCCGCATGCGCCCTACGCGCCCATTGTGGCACACGCCTCGCACGGTTCCTGGCCCCATATGGAGCTCCACCGAAAGCCCCAATGGCACAGGCCGCATGCGCCCGAAACCCATTTTGGCACACCTCTCACACGGTTCGTGGCCACAGAAGGGACTCCACCGACAGCCCCAGTGGCACAGGACGCATGCGCCCGACGCCAATTTTGGCACACCCCTCACACGGCTCGTGGCGTCATAGGGAACTCCACCGAAGGCACCGTTGGCACAGACCGCATGCGCCCACCGCACCCATTTTGGCACACCCCTCACACGGTTCCTGGCCCATAGGGAGCTCCACCGAAGGCCCCAGTGGCACAGGCCGCATGCGTCCTACGCGCCCATTGTGGCACACGCCTCGCACGGTTCCTGGCCCCATATGTAGCTCCACCGAAAGCCCCAATGGCACAGGCCGCATGCGCCCGAAACCCATTTTGGCACACCCCTCACACGGTTCGTGGCCACAGAAGGGACTCCACCGAAAGCCCCAGTTGCACAGGACGCATGCGCCCGACGCCAATTTTGGCACACCCCTCACACGGCTCGTGGCGTCATAGGGAACTCCACCGAAGGCACCGTTGGCACAGGCCGCATGCGCCCGACGCTCATTTTGGCACACCCCTCACACGGCTCGTGGCCTCATAGGGAGCTCAACCGAAAGCGGTACCCACAACGCGGTATTCACAATTTCGCATAGTTGGGTCCTTCATCCGGATAATTGAAAGATTCGACGCTCCAAGATGGACCGAGAAGCCCCCACGATCGCCCTAAGAGGCCTTCAATTTGCGTCTCAGAACGCGCCCCCAGACTGCCCAAGATGGCCGCAAGGCGGCCTAAGAGGCCTCCAAGGCGTTCCAACACCAAGAAGGGCCCAAGAGAGGCACCAGAGAAAGAGCACGAACCGACATTGCGAGCCCTTCGCCCCAAGATGTCCCCCGAGACCGCCAGCTGGCCCTCAAGAGGCCCCCTCACAAGCCTCAAGAGGCCTCCAAGGGGTCCTCCAAGAGGGCTGGAAGCTGCCGACATCATTGATCGCCCATGGGTGTTTGGAGGCTATTGCCCTATGCTTCTGTCCTGCCCTCCGTCGGCCCAAGACGGCCAACTAGGCTCCCAAGATCGCCCCAAGATGGCACCCACAACATGCAATAGTAAACCTCCAAGACGGCCCCAAGAGGGCTTCAAGACTGCCCAAGAGGCCTCCAAGACGCCCAACATAGCATCCACGATGGCCCTGAAGCGGCCCAGGCCCCGAATCGGTTCAGCGAGGAATCCACGACGGTTCCCGGCAGCGTCAGGCGAGCCAGGAACGCCCCAACTCGGCCTACGAGGCCCCCAAGAAGCCCCAAGAGGCCCCCCAAAGGCCCAAGGAGGCTTCTAAAAGGCATGCAAAAAGGCCCGCAGGAAGCTTCCAGGTG